GCATACCCAGTCCATTCCGACGGGTATAAAGTCAAGAACCCCGACAAAGCAAAGAGGAAGTAGGAAATTTGGTAGGAAAACATCCTGAAACCAGATATGAACACACCTACTTTGCATCTGTAGGGTACATGAAGATTAGTTTGGTCAGATTGAGGAAGGTTTGTGTCAGGGATGACTCGTTTCTGCCGACAGTCGGCCCACTTCAACCAGTAAGGCCGGGAGGCCTAGAATCTGATCCCGATTCATGACGAGTTGGGTCGTATACCTAGTCCAGTACGTCAGTTCCTCATCCGCCACCATGACCTCCCGCCTTGTACTCCCTCCCGCTGTAATGCTCCCTTCAACCAACGCCGCCAATGCAACGGGCAGAGCTGTGCGTCGTGTCATGACCTCCTCCTTCACCGCTGGTCCGACTGGGGTTCGATCTCAGAATCTGTTGAGCGTAGTACATGCTCGTCGTTACTATCAAGATGAGGGTGGCCAACTGGTCGTGAAGACTCTCTCGTGAGACGAGTCGATTGATACCTGGCATCAAGCTGATGTCGACCGGCAAGATCTCCCGTGATCAATGACAATCATAGCTCTACAGGCGGGTTGAATACCCAGGCAGATGGAAGCCCAAACGCCAGGTGCGTGTATCACCCCGATAGCCAAGGTCAGCAACTCATCAGGACAAGCGCCGACGACGTCACCTTGAGCTGGATTCATGGTCTCATCGTGCAAGCATTGGAGAACCCAAGCAATCGGTGGATGGTTGGAATGGCTTTATCGGCGCTGGAGGGGATGGATCATCATAGCGACCTTTGGGCCGACCTAGACGCTCGTTTGGCGAATACGGGGTCAGGCCGCGGAGCTCGCAGTACTGAGGGCATGTTGCGTAAGCTACGTGACGAAACCAGGTGAGCCACGAGCGTATCTCTGCTCACCCTTAGAACTGATCAGGACCCAGTCCACCCGCCGAATCCCATCACCTCAGATTGCGTGTACATTCCTCCCCCAAAACGAACGTGCAATGGGTTGTGGCGCCTGAAGGTTCTCCTAAGACATCCAGCGGGTTGCCGCCTTTAGTCCTGGATAATCATGGGTCGCAGTTACCTGATTATTGCCTGTATGTTGAAAGCGACGACAAAGCAATCAACAGGGCGTGGATGTGGATTCCCAGCCGGGGCTGGAAAGAAGTCATAGAGGGTGATAGGCACCCCATTCATCAAGAACGTATCCTTCGTCTCACACGTAACGACAAGAAAGTCATGCCCAGCTGGCCAAAAGACTCTTCGATGGGGACAATGAAGCGTAGGGACCGCCGGGTTAGATTTGAAGCCTTACCGTAGGCCATCGGTCAGTCACCTAGTTTGCGATCCATCTCACAGACCTCTGATACACGCTTCAGGTGCTGCGTCCATGCTCAGACATGATACGGACTTCTGGCGAGCGATGGCTGTCGAGAATAAGCATGATGGGCGTAGATGTCGAGCTTTGAAGTAATTCTGTTCTCGCAATACACTCTATTCGTGTCCTGATGCGCTGAGGCGCTACTGAAGGCGAAAGAACACCACCAGCAAGACGATGTAGCACGATAGGGCGAGAAATACTAGAGGAAGCCGAGGCGAGACTCCATCGGCAGCAAGTAAGGAAACAGAAAGAACAGCGGCGCTACGCCGTACGACTGAGCCAGGTGCTAGCGGAGGAAGCTTCAAGGCTTCCGAGACGCTAACGGGTGAGCTGAGACGCTAACTCGCAGCGTGTAGGGCAGTGGCTCGGGAGAGAGTGTGCAAAGAGGTGGTATTAACTGACCCACATAGAAATATGTATAGTAGCTTTTAAAGTAGACCGAATCGAGTCATCTGCGGCGCTTTAGAAGTAAAAACATCTACGGTCAAAAATAAGAAAGGTGAACCAATAAGGAGTGTAGCATCTGTGAGCTAGCCAGTAGCAAGGGGGATTTCAGGGAGGAGGAGAAGAAGGTTTCCGAAGGCGCAACCGGGAGGAGGAGAAACCGCAACTGGACGGAATAGGAAGGGAATAGAGTTTGGATAGGAAGTCTGAAGGTTCTGAGGCTGCGGACGAGCCAGGAAATGAGACGCTATGGGGTGGAGGGTATGAGAGCCGGGACAATGGAGGCAAATGTGAGTGCACCGAGGTGTACTGCGGCTGGTTCGGGACGCGCCTAACCATATAGTACCGCATGGCGGAGTAGCAATATCGTACGAGTCGAACGAGGGCGCTGGCGTACGCGGAGAGCTTGAGGAGGAGGTCGGAGGGGGAGAGGGTGCCACATAGGGCCGCGCGCGGGCGCGGATCACGGCGGTTGGCGTCAAAGCCGCGTCAATCGTGTCCAGACAAGCGCAAGCCCACTAAACACGGGTAGCCCCTCTGACGCGACTTACGTTCGTCAGCCATGAGCGTTGACACCAGCATCAGCACTGGATACGCCCGCACGCATTATCCATCATCGTCACCAAAGGGAATACGGCCACAGAACTCCTTTCGCTTCGCGCCTCGTCCATAGCAGATACCCATCATCCCCTCATGCAACTCTGAGTGTGCGAACCTCTCGACGCGAACATACGCCCTTACGGCGCTCATTATCTGTGAGCATCTCCTGACGCTCTGGTCTTTCAGTCTTGACAAACGTTGGCATAGTAGGGCGTGGCTTGTTTGTCCTCGAACCACAATGCGAATTCCAGAAAGGGGATAGGCGTATAAGATGCTTCTCATTCGTGGGGGGGGGGTGGTATTCCTACATCTCAGCAGGTTGATTATGCAATTGGTGCGTCGTATCTAGGCTTCAAGTAAAATCAGCTACTAACGCTGGACAGATACACGATAGTCGGGCGAGCGAGCGTCAAGTGGAGCGCTTAAATCGGCGTGTCCCTTTGAGCCTCCAATCGCCGCAAATAGACACTCAGTTAGCGGATGCGATGCATGGGGTCAACAGTGCAATCTTACAGACGATACACGACGTTGTCGGCTGCCTGTCCCTGGTTCACGACGTCCACATCCCACCCAATTCGCGCCGCCCAGTCTCTCTCAATGCAGTCCTGCCAGGCGTCTCGCAGATACTATCAGATCGACGCACTTCCTTACAGACGAGATACGCGTTGGTCGCAACGCTAATTCAAGCCTCTCTCATCGGTGTCTGCCACCGCTTCATGCAGAACGGCTATGCGCGCGCCCTGAATGACCAACTAAGTACAGGTTAGTCTTCGCTCGCGCGTTAACGGACGTTCTCATCTTCATCTGCTTTCAAATAGATGTTGAACTATCCACCGTCGAAGGCACTGTCGCGTACCCCAAACCTCGACCTCGACGTCGCGAGATACTCATGGCGGAGCTGCGTGGTGCTCTGTTTCCATTGTGGGAACTCGGTGATCGGATCGCGCAGCAAACTGCTAGGCATACCACAACATCTCTGGAAGGACTTGCCACGGCTGTTGGAACCTTCATGAAGGAGAGCGCGCACTACAGCACTACAAGCCGCTTTTATGAGCCGGTCGTTGTACGTGCTGGGTCTGCCGTCGACAGAGAGACCATGGTCGTTGTTTCCAGTCTTGGCCCTTCATCTTCCACCACTCCCAAAGTCATGTGTACATTGGGTTTGGGTCTCCGGTGTCGCGAGGTTATGCTGACGGGCAACATCGTGACTACCTCAATTGTTCTAGTCGAAGTTATCGGCTCTTGAAAAACAGCCTGGAGATGTCACCCGTGCAGATACGAACTTCTGAATATAATCATCATTCACCTAATTGTGATTCTATTCTGACTGAGTATGTGCATCTGAACCTTCCGTCGCAGCTGCCGCGCAGAGCACAGGTCGCCTTGGGCCGAGTACTAGATGACATGTATGCGCATTGAGGATAGCTGACTCTTTTCAAGTCTATCGATAGACCGCTCACGTCCACAGCACTTGTAAGTCGATCGTTTAGACGTGATACATGCATCTCCCCATCGTCATGTACGCGATCATTGATTACTAATTAGTCTTGTTAAACGCGCGTCAGGACACCTGGCCTAACTCTCGAGCTCACATGTTTGCCGAAGGCGTCGAATGATCGCGCTTGCGATATCCACGCTGTAGTCTCTTATGCCGCTCATAAGGTCGGGCGATCCGTCTTAGAGTAAAGTCCTTCCTCGCGTGCACAATCTTCGTTCCACGACCAGCCTGATGCGCTCATAAACACGCTTCAGCCGATGTTCGCCACTGTCGCATCGCAGATGGTATCGGCGTAGCTAGGTCTTTCGAGGTCCTGGTGCCCTGGGACGAAGCCGTGTCAGACCTTGCTTGTTGCAAGATACGACAGCGGGCCGGTGTCCTCGTCGATGATCGAACCAACAGGTTATTGGCGCCGGGATTAGTATTAGTGGCTATCTGAGGCAATTTCGTTTCCTCTCCTCGATCAACAGTCAAACACAATGCTCGTATTGGTGTACATGAAAGTGCGTAACGCACGGAGATGTATATATAAATCCTTCTGAGTACTGGCACAGCCATCAGGCGCGTGTGTTACCATGGCAACATATCAACGAACTTCGCCTGTGAAATATTTCTCCCTGTGAAGCGTATCATTCACTCCGGAATGCTCACGAGACCATTCCCCAGCAATGGCTGCGTAGCGCATGAGTACATTGCCACCCTTGTAGGCCGCTATCGCAGCCCCTGCCGCGAGCACTCCCCATGCCGCAAATGACAAGACGTATAGGGCGCATGTTGTCTGTGATCTTTGAATAGACGTAGCTGCGAGCCGAGGGAGGACTCACGAGGGAACGAAACACCGCGAGGATTGCGGTACACACATAATACCATACTCCTGACAGAAATGCAGAGATGACAGGACTACTCCGCGAAGGCGACTTATCAATCCCGCGGTACACGTGGACGGCGGTGTTGATGCCCGCCTCGGAAGTCCCGAAGGCAATGTAGTGTGTGCGTCGAGAACCCTCTACGACTGCATAAGCCTGTCTCAGATGTCAGTAAAGACTTAAAGGGAAGAGGATGTCATACAATAGCCTGTACGACCTCTGTGAAGACCTCAGCATGATTATACTTCCACTGCGAAAGGAAGCGCAGCTCACTTGCCGACGCAGGTGCCGCTCTCGAGAAGCCGACATTGGGCATATCACCCGAAAGATTCAAGGCTTCGATCTTGCCGACCGTAGTACCGACGAGTACGGTTGTGTCGTCATGAATCGACACTATGGGCACAAGCTTGTTGGTGCCGATGTCCGTCTTGATCGTTCGCTCAAACCCAGACTTGGCCCAGCGGCGCTTGTCGAGATTATACACGTCGATTCCGTCACAGAAGTTGGTGGCGTATAGGTAGTTTCCCGACGGAGAGAGGGCAGAACGTCCACTGGTCATTAAATGAGCGACCGTCGTAGTATGCGGCTTGGTGCTGAACGGACGTACATGCAGACAGAATGTGGTAGAATGCGATGAACGAGCCGCCCAACCTCGTCCCAGATCCTGTCATACATCAGAACAAGATCTGTTCACATGATAGTAGTACTTACGCGATACCATGGTGCTTGTAGGTTCCTATGAGTTGACGGGTACCGGGAACATACTCCAACGCGACAGCCCCTGGCCTCACCAGCAGGCCGTTGTCCTCTTTCTCAAGACCAGGAAATGCGGTAGGTTGAGGTAGCTTCCTCTCGTTATCGCGTGCAACTGGAGGAAGTTTGAGGACGTTCAACAGATACGAAGTGGTTATACGCACTTTCTCCAGACCGGTACCTTTTGAAGTCCTGCACGTATACGTCATCCCCACTGCTGAAAGCAAGGCGTTCGCAGTTCTTTGTTGTCGGTGTACACGCCAGAGCAAGAATTGGGTCTCCGATGGGCCAGAAGGTGTTACTGTCCGTGAGCTGGAGGTGGATTGGATGAGACGCCTGTCAACGAGCATAAGGACGTATGGCTTACTGGAGAAGAGCCGAACACAAGCTGGTGAACATCGCCGCTTTGAGTGCCAACGAACAAGACGTTGTGTCGGTCCCATACACAGGCGGTGGGAAAGTCGTGCAGTTCGAGACGTCGCCGACGGATCGGTGTCCATTTGTCAACGTCGAGGACTATGAGCTGCCCGTCCTGGCATCCAACCGCAAGGAAGCCGCCATCACAAGAGAAGGAAACAAAGCAGACGGTATCGGTGAGGTTTCCGTCAGCGAGATCATGCAGAGGATTCGCATCGTAGACATGATGCTCCGCAGACGAGGTGAGGGCCATGGATAATCAGGAGCAAGGAGTCGCGGGCGTCCACGCGAGGACCATCGTCTCCGCGACTTTTAGAATAGTTCTACACGCATGCACCGTACGCAACGCTCGATGTCGCGCAGGGCGAAAACGTGGCCGTGGTTCAAGACGAAGCACCATCCCATCAGAAGATGGAATGTCAGCGACATCGAAAGCGAGTTTCGGGTGGGAGTTTCGGCCCGGACGTAGACATCGCGTCGTGGGGTCGAACAGCCTTGTAGAGTAGAGCACCGTCGCTCCAATCTGACAAGGAGCGCCCGGGGATGCTGTCGGGGCCAGGCCGCAATCTCCACGCGTAGCTCGTTGATGGTCTCCGAGTCGCATGCGCCGAGGTAGTAGGTCGCCGGACCATGGATTTCGAGGCATCTTTGCTATCTTGAGGGACAATAATGCACAGGCAAACCCAGTCCTACGCACACATAGCGGTGGTTGGAACTCATCTCGGATCCCAGACCGTGCCGGAAGCTTGTGAACGCAAAAACCGGCATCCGGTCCGCGTGATGCGGGCGCGCGAAGGGCCTTTCTCCGAGTCCCGCCCTAGCCGTCTCCGTCACCCGTCAGTGCGTACGCAATTCTGTCTGTAATAGATGTTCATGTTTCGTTATCTGATTGACACGAGGGATGAGCCGAGTTCATGTCACTGGTAACTCTGCAGCTAGCAGCGCAGGGCTTCGATGACACCACGGGCTAATTGAGGACGAGGGTAAGTTTACCTTCAGGGTCTCATAGCCCAGAAATTCGCGATTGTCCCATGCATCTAGAGCAGCCGTTTACTGGCCATCTCACGTTCTTATTCCGCATGTATTGACCTATCGCTCGAGATTTCTTGCTTTACGGGGCAGTTCAAGCGCAATTCACTCAGGCCATTGGGGCCTTAGACAAGCTGGTTCCACTAGTTCGATTTTCGTCTTCGCCCATTCGTTGACTGACGTGAGCGCCCTCCCGGCGATTGAGGGTTGTTCGCAAGACTTCGGAGCTCAGACAGGTACCCGAAGTTGTCGGGAATGCCCGACCAGTGTCAGTCTGCTTGCTACCCACCAGTAAGCTTTCAGATTCGGTCGTCGATGATCATACGTTCCCGCATGCGGTATCGCTCTGATATACTCGGTGTCTCTTTTGTGCGTGTTGTATCAGACGGTACCGGACGTCATCTGTCCGTTCGTGCATCCATCCGGCGCCGACCTTCCGGTCCAAGGTCCTGTAGGATCGTCATTGGATACACAACGTTGCACAGGCGTGCGTTCTATCTGAAACTCTCTGAAAGAGTCGGTAATAAGCGTCTCGAACCGTGGACCTGACATACCGCACGACAATTCTCCACCCTCCGCTGCGTCAAGATCGCTGCACTATGAAACAGGCGCGTCTAGTGCATCTCGACCTCTACGCATAAAGCCGACGTTGCTATAGTTGCGCACCGATACCTCTGACTATTTGAAGGAGCAGAAGGCGGCTATTGAAAAGCGCATAGAAGATCTCGAACGCGGCGCTGTGCAGTCGGACAGTGGCGGGCCATGCCGCGCGGCGCGTTTTCCTTCCATGTCTAAGGATGCAGTCAATAACGCGTCACTGGAAGCCGCATTCGTCGGCCGTATGTTAAGCGTTTGGGCTGGATCGCCCGACAAGTCTCGGGTAACCAACGCAGACTGGCCGATCACGGCGACCTTGCTGGGCTCGTTGGTGGGCTTCGAGACCCGCACACTCTTTACAGTGAGTCATGCTTTGGCAGTGTTAGTGCTTGGACTGATCACGACATCAGGATGGCCGTCTACCCGTTCCCTACGATCTCCCCAGCATCTCGAAGTGGGCCGGTACACGCCGCAAGAGAGCTCTCGTCGTAGACACGCCCGACAGACTCGAGGCTTATTACGGCGACAACATCGCACATATCTGGCTCCAAGTCCGCAACATGCCTGCTCGAGATGTCGTCGAGATGCACGGTGAACGAGGACTCTCTGTTGTCGTCCGCGCTATCCTGCAGTGGCGCGCTGCTGAGCCTCGTGCGCGCGATTACGAGTCATCCCTGACTCGTTGATTTATGGTTGTCGGTTTCGTGCGTGCCTGAAAGTTGGGCGTCTTTAGGAAGTCGGCTCCCACGACCCTTCGCGTGCCGCGACTTCCCGGCGTTCCGGTCCGACAGAGACA